GCCGCCCGAGGCTCGAGATCGCTCTGCCGTATATTCTCGCTCGCGGACTCCACTCGCATATCATGCGGGCTCCGCAATATTGGTGACATTTAGACTGGAATTTCATTCGTGAATTTACAACTGGCCGGGAAATTTACAGTCAAAAGTTTTTATGACGGTCTCGTTTTGTATTTTTTGAAAACTCTGCAGATATTTTGGTAATATTTTGGTAATGGCTTGAAATATTTAACAGCTCTGCAGTGCTGCTACTATTGCTTGGAACAATAAAGGCAGGCGTGTTGTAGTTTGTCTAGTCCATAACGGGACAATTTCAAACTGAACGTTGCCCGGTTGTGTTTTTTTCGAAATTGTGACCTAACGATTTAAACGTATAAAGAGACAAAGTTTAGCAATTTACTGCCTTCCTGGCTTTATGTTTTTTGCAGGAACCGTTGTAATCAATGGTATTCACAGATGCCCATATGTTTCTCAACTGAAATTATTCTAAAATTTTCCTTGATTCGACATTATCATATATCTATATGTTTTAATGTGTTGAGTAATTTTTAATTATCCATTAAATGAATGTCTGTACTTTTTATTTGAAGTAAGTATATTTGTTTTACTAGTAATCATTGTGAGAGTGTCGGGTATTCGTGTTGCTCTTGCGAGGGTGTTTTGTCTCTTTGAACTTAGCTGCCCGTGTTATTTGAATTATATAATCCTTAAAAAATCGTCTTCTTGATTGACATTCTGAATTATCCATTTCATTATGAAAATTCTGTCCTGTGTGCTGCCGTTATTTCATACGTACCTTATCACGATGTTCATATTCAGCATGTCAGGCAGCTGTCTTGTTCCGAACTGTGATACACATTATTCACATTAGCCTTCATTAGTCTTTCTTTCGCTCGCGTTTTGCGAATGCGGTGTAACAGTCATTATGCCACCTTTTTGTCACATTCCTCAGTTCTAAATTCTCACTTCTGCATTTTTTTTCGAACCTTCATGTTTGTTGATAATATTCCCCACTCTCCATTATCTTCACGTTAACAACGAAGATGAGGCTGACTTTTTGTATGTGTGTACGGATGACAAGGTACGGCGGTTCTTGAATTTGAACCTTCTTATTTCGAACAGAATCCTCCAATTGGTTAGCACTAAATGTTGCAGGAACATGCTGCCAGAGGGCTCCAACGGCTCCAGTACTCGCATGAACGCGACAACAATGAGCAAACTCTCTGCGCACAAAATTAATTGGGTTAAACAATCCTTAAGAATTCAACATCTTACCTCGCATTCGGAGTTACCCAACCAATTGTCCAAGTGTAAGTGCATTCTTTATTTCAGACGAACCTTGTCACTACGTTTACATTCATCTCAACAGACACTGAAGCGTAGTCATTAAGATCTTATTTTTTGTAACATAGCTCACTTTCACTCAATTATCCTACTTATTTCAAAGTCCTACTCCGTAATTCTTTACATTGTCCTCCATACTCAGTTACCTTTACATTCACTATGAGTTCAAGTTGATGTGCCCTCTTGTGTTCGCCTGTCATTATGATGATAATTGTTTGTGATGAGCTACTGTCATCCCGATTGCCTCTCGTATTTCGGGCTCTCACACAATTTGACATTCTCCTCAACTAGCAATTATCTTCACAATAGCTAATGAGCCTTAGGAGGCGTGCACGTGTGTGTATGTATGTGTTTCAGCCTCAGACTACTCGTCCATAAAGTCAGGAATGTGCGTCGGCCTTTAGGCCAAATCGCCTTATTTGAAACAGTTCTTCAGAACTCAACTTCTTACCTCGCCATCGGAGTTATCTACCTTATCGGTCACGTGTGAGTGCCTTCTTTATTTCAGATGAACCTGGTCACTACGTTTGCATTCATCTCAACAGTCATGTCCCCGTCTTTTTCTGAGTCGTGACTTAAGAGTCAGCTTCGAGATTCGTATCCTCATATCTCTTTTCATTCGCCTCGTAAATGCTCCACATAATGGACGTCAGTTCGATAAACTATTCTTGTCATGTCCTCTTTCAGCTCAATTGTCCACTACTTTAGAACCGTGACATTCCCATTCTGACTCTATTACCTTCCCATTGTTTCCTGAGCTCAAGCTGACGTGCGTGTGTTTGTGTATTTGTTACAGTTGTGATGCTCGTACGGAACGACGGGCGTGTACGTCCGGCTTTGGGCCAGGCTGGTCTTATTGGGAAGAAATTATCTGTCAAAATTCAGCTTCTTACCGCGCATTCTCAGTTCAGCATCCAATTGTTCAAATGTGTCTGTCCTAAGTCATATATATCTTGTCGCTAAGCCGTCTTATTCTAAATCGTGGCATAAGATTTCATCTCAATTTTCCCATTTTCATATCTATTTTCATTCACTGCGTACGTATCTCGTGTAAGTGTCGTCATTTTAGTAAAATATGTTTCATCACGCCGATGTCTTTCAGCTCAATTGCCCAACTTATTTAAAATCCTGGAATTTCCATTCTGGCTCAATTTTCTTCCCATTGGAGTACAAACTGACGTGCGTGGGGCTGTGTGTCACAGACAGCTCGTATCTGCCGAGGGGAGTGAACGTCAGTGTTTAGTACACTTAGTATCCTTCCAAATTCAACTTCTTGACGCGCATCAAAGATACACATCCAAATGTTCAAATGTGTCTTCTTTGTGCCATACGAACCCTGTCATTACGCCTGTATTTAATTCAACAGTCATGAAGCGGTCTCATTCTGAATCGTGACATAAGATTCCACCTCAATTTTCACATTCTTATATCTGCGTATATATCTCATGCTGCGTATATGTATCGTGTAATTGTCGTCATTTTGGTAAAACATTTTTCGACATGTTACTCTCTTTCAGCTCGATTGCCCCACTTATTTAGAACCCTAACATTGCCATCCTGGGTCAATTCTCTTTCCGTCGGAGTGCAAGCTGACGCGCGCGCGTGTGTGTGTCGCAGGCTGCTCGTACGTGCAGACGGGCGTGTACGGCGGGCAGGGCGGCGCGGGCCTCAACAAGGTGGCGTCTGGCGGCGCGACGCAGGTGCCACCGCCGCCGCCGCCCGCGCCGCCGCCGCAGCCCGGCCCGGGGCCCGGCGCCGCCGACCCGCCCATCGGCCGCAACGACCCCTACTTCGACTCCAACACGCCGCGCAACGTCACCGCGCTCGTGGGCAAGAGCGCCTACCTGAGCTGCCGCGTGCGCAACCTGGGCAACCGGACGGTGAGTGCACCTCACTTTTTTTTCATAATTGTCTTAGAGCCCCTTCACAGGGCGCCATCAGCAGCGCTTCTGAGCCTTTGCTCTAGTTGGAAATAATAATGTATCCTTCACACAAGCGCCACTCTCTCCTTCACATGGAGTCACACAGCAGCTCTTTTGAGTGGCGCTGCTGCTGACAAAGCGTTGGTTTAAATGGAGGAATTCACATTAGCGGTGCAGAGGCACTATTGTGACGGTTAGTGGCGCTTCCCGCCACCAGTAGCACTGACGCGCTTCCGCGCCATCGTCAGCAAGACAGATCTAATTGGCAGCCTTCACATTCGGTGGAAGCGCCACTCAGTTTAGGGCCTTTTCACACGGAACCACACAGCAGGGCTTCTGAATGGCACTGCTGCTGACAAAACGTTGGTTTAAGAGACAGATACCAATGCCATTTCTGTATCCAGAGAATACGGGAACCACACAATGACCAGGGGTTTTTAACGGGCCAATCTTCACAAATGTTCTGTGTGAAAATATGTATTTCACTAATGGCCCGCAGCACCAAAAATCCTACTGAAAAAAAACACTGAAAATTATTTTCTAATACGTATTAAGCTCCCTGCCTAAGAACAACAAATAAAATAGTCTTGTATAACTCGTCAATAAACTAAATATTTTAGTTTTCATAAAGACTGGAATAATTGAAATTTAGAACTGTTCTTTACATATCAAAAATAAGAAAGTAGGTTAATGTATCATAAAGTAAATCATGAATAGTAAATATTTAATGTCAAGTAGTTTGTCTCTTCCTCGGAAGCTTGATGATTGATGACGTCAACGGTGTCGTAAGAAGTGACTCAAGGAGCATGATAATTCAGTCGATACGCGCAATATAAGTGTACGTAGAATAACATGATGAAATATTTTACCCATTTCAGTCAACGTTGCAAATTTTAATTGTGTTGGAATTTTCGTCCAATTACAGCGTACGACGGAATCATGGGTACTTATCACTTGACGAAAGCTGCTCAGTTGTCTTTCAGTTTCTGAACACGTTGAAGTTTAGTAATATAGAATGTAAGAATGATAAAAAAATCAAAAATCTCGAGCACGAAACACACTGAAGTTTAATTATAAAAGCTGTTCTATTTGGTATTTGGGGTTAATAGCCCGACTTTGTCAGCTAATGGTGTCCCCCAGCCTAGGCCTAGATAACTTCCCATGCTTGTGGGAGAAAGAGCGAGATGAGGTGAACATAAGCTGTTCCGATCACTATAATTGGCATGTACAGAATTGATACGATTGTATTGCAAAGCTTCAACTCTATTTTTAGCTCGACCGTGAATCAAACCCGACACTACACCAATGGAAGCTAGTGCACTACTCATGAGCCATGCTAGAGGCTAAAAGACTGGTCATGATAAATTCAGAGCGCATCGAAAAAGCGCATCCAATAAGTTTCTTTATTTGATTAACTAAAAGACAACATAATTACATGGAAAACTTCATTGTCAACACGTAAGCAATGATTCAGCTATTTTTCGATATAGTCACCACACGAATTGAGACTCGTGTCACATCATGGTATCAACTTTGTATTCCTGCCTCGTAGAAGTGTGCCGCCCGCGGCTGGATCCAGTGTGACACTGTCGTATTCATCCGTCGTCGTGAAAATGCTGACCGGACGACAGGAATGTGTTCAGGTGCAGGAAAAGAAGAAAATCGATGTGTGCGAAATCAGGACTGTGCGGGGATGATCAATCAGTTCCCAGCCGAACCCCTGTAGATCGGTTTGCCGTATTTGGACGGGTATTGTAATGGAGTCAATACATGTCATACAACCCCTGCGGTAAGCCTGCCAGTACGAGCTGACGATGAATTTCGATCGAAGCGAAGTATCGCGCATTAGGAAACTTTATCACGGACCGAGCCTCGCAGGCGGCGGGAGAGCGAATAAGCGCCGACATTTCAGGCAACTGCTGCCGCACTACTGGCACCAGCGGGTCCCGTCCGGACGGTACGTGGTTGATACGTCAAAGATCTGTTACGCTGGGGCAGTTTCCCCGTTTAAATTCGTGCACTTTCAAAGCAATTTTTTTTAAAAGTAGAGAAACTTACTCCTTGGTTGCGCCTCGTATGTTCGGTTATTTAACCAAATTGCTGTTTCATCATGTGGGAATGCCACGAGAATTCAAATTCCATGTTTTGTAACACGTAATTTGAAGAAATGGAGAAACGTGTTATGTAATTTCAATAATATCATTCTATCACTTTTCTCAAATTTCAGATATCGGTGTAAGGTAGATTCTTCTTTAACAGTGGAAAATTCTGTTAGAGAAATTCAGTACGTTAAGGAAGGTTACTTCTCTGTAACTTTTGTAATATCAGAAAAGTCTCATCGCTTTTAGTATAATATTTGGTTATTAAAATTTATACAAAAACCTTTAAAGAGTTTTTTTATAAACAATAATTCTCAATGATATAATATCAGCAACAACTTTCCGGTTTTCTCTTACATGAAGACCGAATAGAAGTAGAAAGAGAGATTGAACGGTTCTTGAGATTCTCAGACGTTTAGACTAGAATGATTGATTGTCCTCTACAAGTTTGAAGGAGATTTCTTTGTAGTGTCTTTCTTTCCAACTCCACTTGAAATATATCGCTCTTTAAAGAACCTTTGTAATTATTTGCAGTGAAATAATGATATTATAAACTGTAAAGAAACATTTCTAGGATTACGACGATTATTCATAATCATTTACATTTAGCAGATATCCTTTACATGCTGAGTAATGTTGATCTATTTTTATGAATACCACAAAATGATTTTCAAAACTCCAGATTTGAAGTGTTTAAAAACCGTAATCGAGTTGCATTAAAATAAAAGAAAACGTAAGATTCGTTTTTCTTTTAGATATATTTGTGCCTTTAAGAAGTAAAATATTAATATCCAAGTCTTGTGTTCACAAAAGTACAGTACTAACAAATAAACATTTAAAACAAAAATAATCTACGAAAATGTAAGGAAATTATAAAAAAACTACTTGAGGTTCAAAAACTTTGTTTTATTCAAGCCGCGTCACTCCGGCAACAGCGCGATTAACTAGCATTAACAGCAACACGCAGAAATAGAAATGCGGTCAATCGGCGTCTGAGCAGAAAAGACCTCGCGTTGCATTGTCGCTGCCAGTCGCCCTTCGCCCACTGTCCACTGCCCCTCGCGAACGGAACGCGCTCCCGCGGGGCGTCGCCGCTGCCGCTGCACGCTCCCGCCCACGCCCCTGCCGCCACCAACGCAGCCGCCGCACGCTTCCGCCCACGCCCCTGCCGCCATCATCACAGCCACCGCATAGCCGCTCCCACTGCACCGCACACACGGCCATCGCCTTCGCCGTGACATAGCCACCTTTGCCGCCCCGACGCCCCGCGGCCACGCCTACCGCCCCC